TTTCACTATTGGTAAACTACAGAAGTATATATTTTGTACTAATGTGTGTTTGCATACTTGGTATACATGATTACACATAGCTTTTATATTTACAGTGAATTCAACATTAGCGGTGTATCTAGTAGTTAATAAAGTACATACTATAATTTTTTTTGTTGTTTTATTATATCGCTAAATGGATTATAGGTAAATTTTTGTTTATGCTTTATAAAGGTAGATATGGATTATCTGGATGCTAAGTGAAGGGTTACTTTATACTTTCCTCATAATGACATAGGAAGGTAATTTACATGCAAATTTAGTGATTACATAAATTATCTTCTATAATGGTAGATGCTGGTAATTTAGATGTAGATTTAAGGTTTTTATGCCTTTTTATAATATCATAATTGAGTACATTTTAAGAAATCTGAACAAATCCAATAGCTGTTATTCTCTATGATGGTTACCCACCAAATTAATGACTAGAAAATTCTGATTATTTTAAAAATATCTTGGATTTATCATGTTTTTTCTAAGGTATATTGTGATTATGTTATGAACGCTATGTTGAGAACCTGTGGTTAATAACATTAAGATATATGTTGTCATTATTTGCATCACATTTATGTGGTTCTTCTATATGCATTTAATTGAAACCCGCGTTTATGTTATTGTTCTTCTTCCCAACTCTCTCTATCTCTCTTGTACCTGAATTCCTATCTCCAGTTCCTTCTAGATCCTTCTAGACCTATCTCCTAGCACCTTATTCCCTGAATCAAGTTATCTGTGAACCAATCTAGTAGAGTTGCTAACAATAGTTTATATTAGTATTTAACATAATTTGACAAGAGGAAGGGCATCGAACAATTGTCAAAAAACATAGTACCTCTCCCTACTTACTGTTCTTCTTCCCAACTCTCTATCTCTCTTGTACCTGGATTCCTATCTCCAGTTCCTTAGACCTATATCCTAGCACCTTATTCCTTTGCTTGCTGATTCCGACCTCCCTTTCCTCTGAGGTCCTGTACTTTCCTTGCCTGAATCAAGTTATCTGTGAACCAATCTAGTAGAGTTGCTAGGTTCCTAACACCATGAATCCTCTTACCGAGATCTCTCCTTCTACCCAACTCCTTCTCGACGAAATCCGCAAAATCTTCCACAAGTACGGAGCGAAGTGGGATCGGAGATTCACCATGCAGGACGCCGCGTGCGAGGCCTCTCCGGGCGTCCTCGTTCCGTCTCTGTCTGCTGCGGACGGAGTCGAGGTGGTAGCCGACAATTGGGGCGGATTCTTCAAGCAGCCCACCGACATCCCCTCCGCTCCGAACCAGTGCTGCTGCTGCGTCGTCGTGCCGCGACAAGCGGGGGGGCTTTTGAGCAGCCGCCCGACAATCGCTCCGACAAGCTGGGGTGGGCTGTTCTAGCAGCCTGCCCACATCCTCGAGGAGCCGGCCGCCACCGACGCTGCTAATGGCGCCGACACCACCTCGAGTTTGACCCGCCGACCATGGCTTGCTCCGGCGCCGACTCCTCGCCGACATACAGTCCACCAGTTCACCTCCACCAACCCCGACGCCTTGCCGTTCGGCGTCGTCCGAGCTTCGCCCGTCGGCGGCCCCATTGACATCGAGTACATCCCGCCTCTGCGGCCTTCTCCACCAGCTCCTTCATAACCGCAAGACGCCTCGTTCCTCACGCGCGAGGAGTTCGTGGTTCCGAAAAAGCAGCGACGCCACGACTTACCCGTGCCCAATGCCGCCATCTTCGCCGACCGGATCCGCTACAACACCGACGCCGAGCCGGACCCACGCCCCCGGGCCGAGGCCTCCGTGGGTCGGAACACGCAGATGAGGCACACGAAGGGCCCGCCAATCGTCTCAACCCGCATCCTTGCCGGGGCCTACCCGCCATAGCGCCACATCCCGCTAGCGCCGCCGCCCTACCCACTTGTCGCGCTCAAGGTTCGTGGCTGCCGCCCGGCTAAGCCCTCGGGTCTACTCCGAGCACATCGCCATCTCCCACATGCTCAGCATGCGGGCCCATGCGCGTGCTGGCTCTCGAGGCGGCAGCAGCCCACGGGCAGGTCCCGTCCTCGCCGCAGCACCTCCACCGCATGAACGTCGTCTTTGTCGGCGCCGAGATGGCACCGTGGAGCACGACCAGCGACCTCCCGCCACCATGGCAGCGAAAAGGTCCCACGGGATGACTTGGTTGACACACGTTGCTTTGGCTTACTCCAACGTCATCAACGACATCTACACTTCCAGTGCCTCAACCCCAAGCCCTGCCATGTTGAGTTCGATATCTCTGGAGCATCCCAGCTTGGGTGCACGCCAGATGTTCGAGGAATTGTCACTGCATGCAGACATCTTCTGCAACATCTGCATTGGCTTCGAGCTGCCAAGTTGTATGTCACTGGGAGTCAATCAACACCAACCATGGCCACCACCTGACGAACTGAGGTTGACGGGTTGTGATGCTGAGTTATGGCCTACACCATGGCCGTCGTTCTACATGGCTGTGAGGAACTCTGCCACGGGTCACCCTGTCCGACTCTGGAAGCCCCCATGGTATGTATCAACTCAAACAACAAATCTGGTGTGTGCTTCCTGCACTTGTAGAGTCTTGGAAATGCTTGATGAGACCAAGGAGATTTGTTGTTTTTCATGTACCTCTTGGTATATCATTGCTTGATCCTGAGGTGATGAATGCATCAGTTCTTAGCAAGCTGAAAATAGTTAATCATGGAAGAGGTTGTGACAGAGGTGTTTCTAGTGTGCACATTATAGTTCATACCAGTATAGCTTCTCAACCATGGCTGCCACCTACACAAGGTCAATCTGTTCAGATGAAGCTCTGCATTGATATCAGTTTTGATGCAGTCCATCTCAGGCCAATCCCTTGGCCATTTTTCTGTGGTTATGTAGCCCCTGTGCACTTGAAGACATCACTTTTAGTGAATACTATGCTTGTGAACTCCACTCAACTCTATTTTGGTTTCTGGTCACTGATCTGTTTAGGATGGGTTGCTGTTCAGTACAAGCCTCCTTGTCCGCCACCCCAAAGCAATGGGACATGGTTTCAATTATCTGTGAGTTTTGTGATTAGCTGCTCATTGCGCCAGTCTATAGTTCCATTCTTCCATTATGTAAGCTGTCAAGAGTGCTGGAAGCTTTGGCTGGAGTTACTTCAAAATGCAGTGTAAGTTGCTGGACTCAACGATATCAAGTTGTCATGCACATGGTTAAGGGTATACATGATCCAGTTGTTTCCTGGAAAGCTTCAGGCTCTGGCTATAATCCTTCTGCATGTCATCAATGATAGAAGAGCTATGCTGCCACTTAGTGTTGGTCAATGGGGCATGATTCTATCACGTGCATACATGCTCAAAAGAGAATTTCTGGTGGAAGGTGAACATCTTGTGGTTACAGTAACATCTAATATGCAACAACTATTTCAGTGTTGTCCACTTGAAGTAGCAGGAATGCACGCTGTTGGTGTGTCAACAACTCTGATGGAAACTGGAATTCTTCAAATTACAATTGTGCGCTGTTCTTGCCATTTGCTTGCACGGGTAGCACTCATGGATGGACAAGCTGATTTTACAGTCACATATAATTATATGCACACTTGCTGGGACTGCAATTCCCTCGCAACCCTTGTATATGACAAGTATTTGGTAAATGCTGCTTTACTCAGGACCAATTCAATTCCCAGCAAGATGAGTACATTTGTTGCCTGCTCTTGTCAATGGCATCCTTGTTTCTATTCTGCTCCAACCGAATGTGATCGTGTGATTCGTCACTCAAGGATGACGAAAAGACTTGGACAGCAAATGTGTGATGTCATTCTGCATGCTGCTCCAACTGCAGAGGCAAAGGAACTTCTCTAATTACCTTCTTCTATGGGGATCAAGATCACACTTCTGATCCAAATCAGGTGCTCGCAGTTTCCCTGAGATCCTAGTGGTTCCTAACTTCTCCACTAGCTCGGGGGCAAGCCGAATTTTAAGAAGGGGGGAATGTCAGGGATATGTGTAAGATGGACTGCCAGGTGGGGCCGGGCTGTCAGGCAGAAGCAAAGGCAAGGCCAAGCCAGTACAAAGGGCCGGGATGGCAAGAGGAAGGGCATCGAACAATTATCAGAAAACATAGTACCTCTCCCTAGTTACTGCTCTTCTTCCCAACTCTCTCTATCTCTTTTGTATCCGGATTCCTATATCCAGTTCCTTCTAGACCTATCTCCTAGCACCTTAGTCCCTTGCTTGCTGATTCCGACCTTCCTTTCCTCTGAGGTTCTGTACTTTCCTTGCCTGTGAACCAATCTAGCTAACACATCTATGTGCGTGTGTGTTCATAAGATAGATGCAACTGTATGCGCTTGGAGTTGAGAACTTGCATATGTGGGATGTTACTATGTTGTTATGAGAAAGTGATCGGCACATCTGTTTTGACCATGGACATTCAAATCAGGTGCACGTATACCAAGCAAAACATAATAGAAGTTCATGAGTAAACCTATACGTGTGTTCGTATTAATTATTGTTTTTTTTAGTAAATGTTCAGTGCATACATTTATAAATTTCCACCGCAGCGCGCGAGGTATCATCTAGTTTTGCAAAGTTAAGTTATGGACAAACAGAATCAATATATTACTGGAAATGAAACATTACACCAAATGCCACTTGGGATTACAAAGTACTTGGACTATGACAATCCAAATCAAATATAACACGCAAACGTACTTACAGAACTCATACTACATGCACTTTACCTCTAATCTTTAATACTTGTGCATGCTCATTGATGAATCGTCCGCATCTTGGTGCTCTTTCGTCCGGAGTGCGGAGCATATGTTAGAGATGAGATAGGATCCGGCTGTTATAGATAGGATTAGTTAGGATATTGGTTCCTATCGTCGGATCTCTACAATACATTTCTAACATTTCCTTCCATATACATTCGTGTACTGCATCGAAAAACTTGCGAGCGAATGCGTATATACCACTCACTCCACAATTATATTCGCACCTCTTGGAACTGTTCGAGCATAGGTCTGCGTCGACTATGGTCCGGCTTTTTATGCACATGCCTCATGAAGCTGTCCACACCATTGGCTAAACCTAACCAGTTCTTGTAACCCAGAACATCAGGAGGGTGAAGTATTCCATCTCTTTTCGCATTACCTCCACAAAATCCACAAGTGCGGTCCGGATATGACTCTGGATAGATGATGATGAGATCATTTTGCACAGTGATGGCTGCCGACTGAGACGACGAGGTAATTTGCAAGAAAGTGTACCTGCTACATTGGTCAGGACGCAGCACCTCATCACACGAGGCGTCTCGGCATAAAAGATCTCGGCGTAGAACTGCACCACTCTGTTGCCGCCGTTGTCGTTCTTAGCCCGTGCACTGAAGTTGCAGTGGAACCAGGGTCCATCGTGAACAAAGACCCTAGATATTGGCGCCTTTGTACCATCATCGGTAACGAGCATGTACTCTTCTTCCTGCAAGTGCACAAGTAGTAACTTAGTCAGAGCCATGTGTCGGTGAATTGATTATTAGCTAGTCTTTGTGCTCGCTAGTTCAATAACATACTGGGTTCTCTGCGTTGAAGTGCGTTAGAGCCGCCTCTGCTAGCATGATGTTCTGGGCGGCCACATGTTCCAGCACGGCCTCGTGTGCTCCACTGGCCTTCTGCTGCTGATCCGAGTAAGCTTCACTGCGTTCATGATTGCGATCACCAATTAGAATGGCACCGTTTTTTTTTTATTTTTTTATTTATAACAATGTATAATAACGTGCTGAGTTTGGAACCTGTAGTATGTGTACAATCCTGTTTGGGATTAACATCTAAGTGATTATTGATGAGGGTTGTGGAAGAAACAAAAACCGTCTCCCATAGTAGCTCTGGAGATATGCACATCATATACTAGTATATTGCTCCATTACCTTCCTGATGACATGGATGTGGTGGCTGTGTCCCGCAGCGATTCTTGAAGCGCCTGCCCTGATCCGATGCGAGGAGAGTATCCTTCTCCAGGGTCTTGCAGGGAGAGATGTTTACCCAAGTCTTGACGCTAAGGGGAAGAGAACGGCTCCGGCGAGGGGCCTCAAGGATAGTGGAGCTGGGATCTCAATAGGGCTGGGGCCCCGACGGATAGCAGGGGCCGCGGATCGGGGCCACCAGCCTCTTCGGCATCTCGTGCCCTCTCCTAGAGCTTTGTTGTTGCATCTGCTTCGTCTAGTCCTAGCCTAAGGCTCTATGACTATGCCATGCTCCACCGCGCATTCTCTGCTTTCGCAAGCAACGAAGCTGTATATAGCTGTATTTATAGTCCGTGGCTAGCCCATAGACTTTTCTAGCAAGCTTCCAGTTTTATGTTTTCGATTGGCCATTTGGCATTCACAAGAATACTCTATTCTATCACCGTGGTGCGCTGTGTGAACCTACTATACGTTATCATGTCGACGAATCACCATGGCAATACTTGACTTGAAAAAAAAAAAAACGAATGGCAGAAGAAGCTAGCTTCACATACCAGTAGCTGACGAAACCAAGCTTGCTTACTCAGCAGTGTTCTACAGATTTATCAATTTTACAGTGACTAACTTGTGTACACGCAGTCAAATCGAATAACAACAAAATCAGAAGGAAAAGAAATATCCAGCTATCAACATCTATTACAATCGACAACTGACAGCATCTACAACAAACAGCTAGACCCCTATTCTATCTCATATATTATCAGTTGTTTCAGCACTTCTATTGGTCTTCTACTTTCTTAGGTTTAACCATCCATTGCTACTGGAGAGAAGTGGCCATTTTTAATCCTGAAACTAACAAATATTGTAACTATGAGCCAGTAATGATACTACTTATCAATGGTAGCTCTGCCAATCGATGATAGCGATTTCCTAGGGTACTGTCATAACTTGTTTCCACTGGACAGTGGAAACTGGTAGTGCTAGTCTTGACAGCACAACTGCTTGCTAGATATAACTATTTCTGAAGCCTTCATGTATCAACAGTAACAAGACAATGATAATGATTTTAATCATGCTAAAAAATGATTTTTTAAAAATATCCCTATTATTATTACTACTACTATTATTATTATCATCATCATTTCATATTCTTAAAGAATTTTAGATTAATTATTTATAACAACAACATTCAAATTAAGCTCCTGTAAATACATTCATAAAAGTTAATGTTATAATAATAATAATATAAATCACCTAAACATGAAGAAATAAAAAAAAAACAAGGAAACTGACTTGGGCGGAATGTCCAATCGTGCAATTTCAGGACAGTCAACACAAAGCTGGGGGTATTTATGACCACTGATGACTTGAACTGATCAGACAATCCTGCCAGAATAAGATGAAGAGCATCGGACAATCAGGATGAGCATAAAGAAAAATGACGTCAACATAAATGCTCAATGCATGTATAGTCCAATGGTTACCACGGTTTTAGATAGCAGCGCTGTAGCACAACTATAGCTTTTGGAAAGAGTCCACGCTAAGCTATTGTTGTTTTGCCGCTATGTCAGCTACGACTACTATATTGTGCTATAGCGCCGCTAAATTGCTTAGCTGTACCTTTGAAATAGCGGTCTATTACTATTTTAGCAATAACAGTGGTAATCTAATTTTTTATCTACTTATATTTTATTGCTAACTTGGTCTTTTGGAAATTGAACACTTGAGTTACATAAATCATGCTATAATATTATATTATGTAAGGTTCTCTAGACTCCTAAATCTTAAAAACATGTTTGTGTTCATCAAATTTTATGATTGTCATGTCATTGAATCAATTATTACTTGCACTTTTATACTTTTCTTAAAAAACGCTATCTGTCATAGCTCCGCTATAGCTTTATAGCTCCTGAAAAAAGCTGCAGCTATTTGCTATAGCCCGCAATTTTAAACAAATGGTTACAATGGAGCGGACATTCCGGTGGTAGAAACAGTTTGAACAACGCAAGACCGTCCGGAGATCAGAGCCATTTGACACACACACACACACACACACACACACACACACACACACACACACACACACACACAAGTTAATGATAAAATGGAAATGACGATTTTATTTTGGTCATAAAATGGAAATGGTTCTATGACATGAATATTTTGATCATGGATGGAAAACAAGTTAATGATAAAAATTTATTTGACTTTGTCATTAAGAAATAAATTTGACACTCCATTTTCTACAAATATAGATTTGTCACTAATTCATCACAAAAGATTCTTTATGGCAAGTTTGGCTATTACCATGGTGATAATTTTTTATCATGTATGTTTGCATTTTTACTAGTGAAACCATCAAGGCCTTCATCATGTACACCAAGTCCAATGATAGGAATAAAATCAAGACCAACTATTACATCCTTAAGAAGATAAACAATGAGATGGTGCTTGCAACAAAAGTTGGGTGAAAGAGTTCATATGGAATAAGCCTATTGAGGTGCTTAATGATGTGATGTAGAACATGTATGGGTCTCAAAGGTTTGGGTCCCCATGACAAACAAGGCATACATACCACGGGCGGTGCATCATATTGGTTCAAGCCATGTCTTGACTTTGAGGGGAAGTAATAAGAAATCAACATGTGGGTCTGGTGGACCATTTCGAGAGGCGGGCCGAAACCAGACATCTCTAGAAAGACACATGTACAGAGGTGGACGAGCTAGCCGCCTCTAGAAACAGTTTTTACCATTTCTAAAATATATGTTATGGCATAGTGGGATTGATATGATCCCTTGCTGGTTTATTTCTTGGAACCTAGAAATGTGGCACATTAAGTGGAGTGACAATGTACTGGGTGTATACCTATGGTATAAATTGATGAAAATATAAACTTGTATCGTGGAACACTTATTTTGTTCAACTAGAGACAACTTGCTCATCAACATATTAGTAGAAGATAAATTAGAAGAAGATGACCCACTTCAATGCAAACTATTGGTGGTTTCCTAAACTTGATAATAACATTCACTTATTTTGTTCTGGAGACAACTTGCACATTCACATATTACTAGAAGATAGAAGTAGATGACCAACTACAGTGCAAACTATTGGCAGTTTTCTAAACATGTTAATAATGTTCACTTATTTTGTTCAACTAGAGACAGCTTGCACATCAACATCATTGCTAGAATATAAATTAGAAGAAGATGATACACTGCACTGCAAACTATTGGCAGTTTCCAAAACTTGTTAATAACGTTCACTTATTTTGTTCTGGAGACAACTTGCACATCAACATCTTATTACAAGATAAATTAGAAGTAGATGACCCACTGCAGTGCAAACTATCGGCAGTTTCCTAAACTTGTTAATAATGTTCACTGATTTTGGTCAACTAGAGACAACTTGCACATTAACATATTACTAGAAGATAATCTAGAAGTAGGATGACCTGCTATGCTAACTATTGGTGGTTTCGTAAACTTGTTAATAATGTTCAGTAGAAAGCTAGGAAGAGTTGTTAATTCTGGGGTGTTAATGTATTTGGCCTGGTCCTGATATTATAGCTTGGTCTATATCAGAGATTTGAACAAGTACAAGTTAAACACAGCATGATGCCATGAACGTGTTTTAGGGAATGATGTCATGAATCTAGAATTTTCCTGTTGACAAGGTTTCTTGTTTATTATAATGTAAAATTTTCGGCGGTTAGGAGGTGCGAAACCAAGACCCATTGTTGTGCAAACTACAGGAAGTTTCCTAAACTTGTTAATAATGTTCAATTCACAAGCTAGGAATTGAAGTGTTGCTTGTTAATCAGGGGGATTAGTTTATTTGCCCTGGTCCTGATATTATGGCTTGGTCAATATCAGTGATTTGAACAAGTAAAAGTCGAACACAGCATGATACCATGAACCATTTTTTAGGCAATGATGTCTGTCCTGGTCACATGGTTTGTTGTTAATTATAACATAATTTTTTTTGGTGGTTAGGAGGTGCAAAACCTTGGTACAACATACATAGTTTAATTTTTCTTGTGTGTGTGTGTGTGTGTGTGTGTAACACACATACAATAAAGCTCTCTAACTTTCATCAAAGCGTCCTACAAATAAAATTTCAATGTAGTTGGTAACATCATCATTAAATCTGAACAAGTAAGATATCCATAATGTCATTAAATCTCCACAAACAATGCAATTAATTTACTTCTTTTGCTAAAAATATTAAGCAATTCTTACCACCAAACTATGATGTCTAGCATCGCTATCCAGAAGTTACTTAATTTATAATAATTTGGACAATAGAATGTAAAGGACAAAAGATGTGGTCAACTTCTTATTAAGAAATAATAAAACATAATTTGCATAAACTTATAGTACTGAAAGTTACGATTTCGAAGCTAATAAAGATTTTACAACTTGGATTGGTAATAGACTATAAGGTCCGAGAAGCGCTCTCTCTGTCTGTCTCTCACCGTGCACCTATCTATCTCTATAAAACAGGAGCGACTAGTACAACCCAGAAAGTTCCTCAATGGAGTGGCGCGCGCTCATCGTGGGCAGCGAGGCGCGGTTGGTTGCTTGTCTCAAATCAGCCTGGGTGTTTTCAGAACTTTTTTCTATGTTAGAATCATGCTTCAAACTAAGTTGTTCCTGTTAATATCATGAAAATTTATGTATTATTTGGTCTTCCAATTTATCTTCCGCAGCTTGATGAGCATGCATGCTTATGTGGGTCTTTGTTTAAAAAATTGCTTTGTTTTAGGATTTGAAAAATCTAAATTTTCTTTGACATTAAAGAACTTTGACAATAGATTTCACAAATCCGTAACTTATTTCGTGCAAGCTACATGCATGTTGTAACTTGTAAACTGAGGCTGAATGGCGCTTTTGTTGCAATTTACAGACCATCGTCAGAGAAGAGGAATCTTGTAGTTGGTGCACTGGTTCATACCATGAGTCAGAACGAAATTTAA